CGTCTGCAACCCCCCTCAGGTCTCCCTTCACCAGCCCCTCTTCACTCCCCACTTAGTCCCCTCTTCACCCCCCCAGCTCCTCTTTGCCCCCCCTGCAGCCCCTCTGTCCCCCCAGGGCAGCGCAGCCCGCCCAGGCCATGGAGAGCACCATGGATTTCCAAGTGGACGCCCCAGTGGCCCCCAGTTTCAGCAGCGATGACGCCATGGAGCCGCCAGCCATGGACACGGAGGAGGACAGGCCCACGGCACGGCCCAGTGTCCCCAAGTGTGACACGCAGCCGGGGGAACCCCCCTTGAGCACCCTCTGTCCCGGCTCCGAGCGGGACCAGCCTCTCCCCAAGACTGAGCAGAGGGACTCGGGGACAATCCTGGTGGCTCTGGATCCTGCAGGTGGTGGGGATGCACAAGTGGAGCTTTGCTGGGATTTGGGAAGAGAGACAGAAGAAGCGGATGGCTGGAAGTCGCGTGCAGGGAGCACCTCGCAGCACACGGAGCCTCCCTGCGCCCCCAGCAGCGGCGACCTGGCGGGCATGGAGCTGGACAAGGAGAACGCGGAGGACGAGCCCTCGGAGCTGCAGGGCCTGCTGGCCCAGCTACGGACCCTCGACACGAGCCCGCGCGCCGCCTCAGAGCAGGGAGCGCCGCTCTCCTCAGCCGCCGCTCCAACGGACACACGGAGCCCGCGAGGCTACCGGCAGTGCCGCGGCAAGTGCCGGCCCTGCCCGCTGCACGTGGCCACGGGCAGGGGCCTGGAGACGCGGCCCTGCTGCGCTCAGCACACGGCCTGTTCCCGGCCTTGCCATGGGCTGCTCTTTGCCGAGGCCGAGCGGGAGGACTTGCTGAGCCTCCTGCGCTATGATGGGGGGCTGCCGGAGGCCCCTTCCGAGACACCCCTGGCCCACTCTGATGTCCTGGCTGGCACCAACCTGGACAGACTGCAGGATCTGGAGAAACCGGCCACTCTGGATGCCCCTGAAGTGCCGGGCAGGCTGCGGAGCTCGGAGGAAGGGTGTTCTGCGGACTGGTGTTATGGAGAGGGGCTCTGCGAGGTCAGCTCCACCTGCGAGGACGACCAGGACGGCTGCCCGGAGCCAGCGTGGGGGGCCCTGTCCCCTGCCCCTGCCCAGGAGGCAGAGCAGCTGCCCCAAGGCAGCCTGGCCGTGAGTGCGGGGACGCGGGGTGGCAGCAAGCTGGGACGTGTCCCTGCGCTCTGCGTGGGGCAGAGGGCAGCAAGGGTCCTCCTGGGCCTTGCACTGCTGGGCAGGGGGGCCCATCGAAGATCCCCAGTACTGGCTGCAGGATGCAGCTGCTCCAGGGGTGCTGGATGCACTCGCATTCCCATGCGATCTTTGCATCCTTTGGGAAACAGACCAGGCCCTGGTCACTGTGTGGCTCAGGAGTCTGGTCACAGCAGTGCCAGGGCTTGGCACCTTCACCCAAACACCCTGGTTGGAGGCTGAAAATGTCCAGGCTCCCCTCCAGGCTCTCACCTACCCTCCTGTTGCTTTGCAGAATAAGGAATTCCTATCCTCTCGTCCAGCCTTCAGAGACGGTGAGTTGTTTCTCTGCTAGAATAAGAAACAGAAATAGAAATCGTGACCCCTCCTGCCCCTGCTCTGAGTGTTAGTCTCAGGGGTGGCTGGTGTCCGGGATCCCCAGCAGGGAGGGAGCGCCCAGCTCTCCAGCCAGGCTGGAAAAGGGACTTCTCTAGGGGCAGAGGAGCTACTTCTTTGGGGGGCAGGAGGGGCTGCCCGCTCCAGAGGCTGGTTCAAACCCCACTCCTGCTTTGTGGGGTGTATGGCAGGGATCCAGGTGTGCCCTGAGGGCATTTTCCACTGCTTAATCCCTCCTGATGCCTCAGTTCCAGGCCCCTGTGACCCGGAGGATCTGCTGGATGGTGTGATCTTCGGGGCAAAGTACCTGGGCTCCACACAGCTTGTCTCAGAGAGGAACCCCCCCACCACTGTCCGCATGGCACAGGCCCAAGAGGCTGTGGACAGGATCAAGGTGAGGTTGGTTGCCACAGCTCAGCCACAGCTCAGCCCCTTGTGGGCATCAGGCAGCGTTCAGGCCTGGGGGCTGCAGGGAGGGCTTTTCCCAGCTCTCTGCAGAAGTGGAGCAGGAGCCCAGGACTTCTGCAGCAGCAGTAACCTTGCCTGGACACTTCACCCTGCAGGCACCAGAGGGGGAGTCCCAGCCCATGACGGAGGTGGACTTGTTTGTCTCCACACAAAGGATCAAGGTGCTCACAGCTGACACCCAGGTGAGCGGGAGCAAGGGTAGCTGTGTTGCGCTGGGGCTGCTGAAACCTTTCTGTGGACCTGGGTACTTCACCCTGGTGCCCATGTGGGCCCACGCAGGTGGGTCATGGCCCGTGGGCAAGGGCAGTAAGCCAGGAGCAGATGTGTCACTGCAGGCCTCCCGCCTGTGCAGGTGTTTTGTGCGTCCTTTGGCTATCCTCGTGGCTGCGTGGCCCTTTTCGTTCAAGCTGAACCATGCAAGCACAGCTAGGCTGCCAGGTCCAGCTCAGGGGAAGCTAATCTTGACGTTTCTGCAGGTTTGTCTGTGCAGAATAAATTTATTCTTTACAGTAAGAGGTAAAGGCTCTATTGTCCCCTGGCAGAGATGCAGATGAGCCATCGGTTGAAGGAGCTGCTTGTGTCTTAACACAGACATGGTTTCTCCCAGGAGTGTGCTCCGCATTTGTGCGGAGTTGTTCGCTGGTAGAGCCGGCATTTGAATCAGACTGAACACAAACTCTTCCCTGTTTGCAGAGTGCCTGGCCGGCTCTTGGGCTGCCCATGATGCCCGTCAAGCCAGGAGGGTTGGACATTGTTCCATCCTTGTCCCCCTTGCCAGGAGGCCATGATGGATCACTCCCTGCAGACCATCTCCTACATCGCTGACATCGGCTCCCTTGTAGTGCTCATGGCGCGACGGAAACTGCCCCGGCAGGTGGAGGCTGCGGAGCAGAAGCGGCTCTACAAGATGATCTGCCATGTCTTCCACTCCGCTGATGTGAGGCCGCACTTGAGCCCGCGGGAGGGGGCGGTGGGGTCCTGCTCTGCTATAGCAGTGTCCTAACTGGGAGCCCCGGGTCTCTGCGGAGGCAGCTGGGCTACCCTGTGCCGACACCGCACCCAGGGGATGGGCACAAGGAAGGGGAAGGTGCCCTCACAGACACCCTATCCACATAGAGGGCTCAGCTGGAGAAGGGGGATCTGTGCATGGAGAGGCCTGGCCAGGTAGGGAAGGAGCTGGGAGTTTCCAGACTATTCCATCCATCCAGCTGCTTCTGCATTGAATTTGGCCACGGCACCCTGATCCAGAGCCATTGGCACAAACGCCTTCTCCTCCCTAGGCGCAGGTTATCGCACAGGCCATTGGCCAGGCCTTCGGCGTGGCCTACCAGCGCTTCCTGGAGGCCAACAGCATCGACCCAAGCGAGCTGAGCCCTCGGCAGTACAGCCATGCCCTGGAGGACCAGGAGCACTACAACGCGGAGCTCACCCACTTCTCCAGGCAGGAGAACTGCAAGGATGTAAGAGCAGCTTTGGAGGGGTGGGTTGGCATGGGCACAGGACAGTGCCTGCCAGGTCCTCCCTGTCTCCCCACGTGGCTCTTTGAGCAACTGTGGTGGCTGCTGACTGAGTACCTGGGTTCCCAATCCCAGCTGGCTTGGGGCACAGGACCCCCATGTGGAAGCCGGGACAGATGGCCAAGGCCCAGGCTGCTCCTGCTGGCGCCTGTGACATGTCTGTGTCCTGCCAGGTCTGCATCCGGAAGCAAAAGGGGGAGGTCCTGGGCATTGCCATCGTGGAGTCAGGCTGGGGCTCCATCGTGCCCACCGTGGTCATCGCCAACCTCATGCACGGGGGCCCTGCGGAGAAGTCCGGCGAACTGAGCATCGGGGACCGCCTCATGTCCGTCAACGGGACGAGTCTGGTGGGGCTGCCCCTCACCACCTGCCAGAGCATCATCCGGGTGAGCAGGGGCCATCAGCCACCCCTCCTGTGAGCAGCGTCACCGCGTCGCCCCCCTGCAGCCTCCCCAGGCTCTCATGCTCGTCCTTCCTCCTTCTTAGGAGCTGAAGCACCAGACAGAGGTGACACTGAACATAGTACACTGTCCCCCTGTCACCACAGCTGTTATCCGGCGCCCCGACTCCAAGTACCAGCTGGGCTTCTGCGTCGAGAATGGCGTGGTAAGCGCCTGGGGGTGGACAGGCCATGGCCAGAGCGGGGTTGCCAGGGGCTTGAGCAGTTGCTTTGACAGAGGGAGATGCTCGTAGCTCTCCTGCAGTCAGGTTTATCTCCCCGGTCCTGCTTAGCTGTTTGCCTTGGGGGTGGGGAATTTCTTTGTTGTGTTTGGGTGTCCTTAGTGACATTTGTCACTGTCCCAGCACCACTCCCTGCTCTGGGCTCTGCAGTGACTGCTTTGGACAAGCCCAGGAAAGGCGGAGGAAGAAGGTTCTGGGCATGAGTGGAGGAGACGGTGGGTGGGAGCGGAAGACACTGCTGCGCAGGGCACCCATTGGTGCCAGCTGTGCCATGGGAGACATCATTTTACTCCAAAGACACGTGGGACCCGCTGCTGTCCTCAAGGGCTAGATGAGGGGAACTGCGCAGGGTGTGAGCAGGGTGGGTTCCCCACTTGTGCTGGGCGCCTTGGGCTGGAGGAGGTGGCCCCTGTGCCCAGAGCTCTTGAAAGGAGCCTGCCTGGGTGCCGGGGCTCCTGCGGCGGCTGAGCGCAGCCCTGGACTGCGGGAATTGCTTGGCTCTCAGCAGCTTGCCCTGCTCTCCAGATCTGCAGCCTGATGCGCGGTGGCATCGCGGAAAAAGGTGGCATACGCGTGGGGCACCGCATCATCGAGATCAATGGGCAGAGCGTGGTGGCAACGCCACATGAGAAGATCATCCAGATCCTCACTCAGGCTGTCAGCGAGGTGAGCAGGGCCCAGGCTGGGCGGCAGCTGGGGCTCCTGTGTCCCTGTGTTCCCTGCGACTGCCCCCACGGCATCCAGGGACACCTGGACACGCTCGCACCCTTGTCCATGTTGCCAGCGTGGGGATGTTTGGGCTGGATCAGCCTGTCTGCAAAACCTGCTTTAGGGCGAGGGACGTTCCGCCTGCCCGAACCCCGGGGTAGCAGGTGGTGCTTGGGGCTAAGCTGGTGCCTCTACCTTAGGTGCACATCAAGACGATGCCGGCCTCCACGTACCGCCTGCTGACGGGGCAGGAGCAGCCCGTCTTCCTGTGAGCCGCTGCCGGCGCCGTGGCAGCCCTGCCCGCATCCGGCCAGGAGGGAGTGTGGGGCCATGCGGGTAGCGCCGCCCCTGGCAGGGCCCAGTCCTGTCCCTCTCTGTTTTACTCAGGACTGGGTGGGAGGCTTGGAGAGCCCGAGGCCCGAGCGGGGTTTGGGCCCGTGTCCCTTCTCCCCCGCCTGCCTTCGCCCCTCCTGCAGCCGCCCGGCGCCTGGCCCACTGCTCTGCGCTGCCCTCCCCTCAGCGCGGGCACAAGGCGAGGGGCACCCGGCAGGACGCGCTACCCTCGCCCCCCCGGGCTCTGCTCTCACCGATGGTGCCTTTCCCGGTAAAGGGACGGTGCTGGGCACAACTCCTGCAGCTCATCAGGGCCTGGTGCCACGCACGGGCACCCCCAGCTTGGCTCTCCAGAGCTGCAGCCTGATGCACAAGCTGGTACTTCTCACCCTCAGCCTTACCTGGAGCAGGGCCCCAGCCTCTGCGTCCCCTCCCCACTAGATCTGTTGTACTGAGCTGGAAAACTACCTCTGCCTCCCTGGCCATGCCTTCAACCCCTCTGCACCACAGCCTGGTGCCCCCAGTGCCACCCTCGGGGCTGTCCCTCCGCGCAGTGAGAGGGACGGGGGCACTGCTCTTGTCCCAGAGGGTGACGTGAGTCCCCTGCCAAGGCCAC